TTCTCTTCTGCACGATGAAGATTATTTTGATTTTTTACCGGAGAGAGAGCCAACGGAAATGACTGAAGCAAGGTGTGTGGGTGTACGTGAGAGAGAGAGAGAGAGCGAGAGAGAGAGAGAGAGAGAGAGAGAGAGAGAATTTTGCTCCCCATTAATAGCAGGTAGTAGGCAGCTATCAAACAGGGAGGTACTACCGCCTGGGAAGATATTGGAAGCATAATGTGTTGTCTAATGGTAGACCCTGCTGCCATATGGCATCACAAATATTGTTACCAAGTCCCAGGTTGCTGATCTGTCCTTCTGCCTCATTTACACACAATTGCAGGGTCTCAATTGTTTCTCTTACTTGATAACACAACATACATATAGCGTTTCTCACTATTGATTATTTGTATTTCTTTGTATTTATTATTATTATTATTATTATTATTATTATTATTATTATTATTATTATTATTATTATTATTATTATTATTATTATTATTATTATTATTATTATTATTATTATTATTATTATTATTATCATCATTATTATTTTATTGTACTTTTTATTATAAATTTTATTTACTATGAATTACTGTATTATTATTATGACATTTTCTCCCCCCAGGCCCCGTTGTGGGTTAGTGACCTGAGCCCGGGTGGGCTAATCCCCGTAAAATAAAAAAAATAAAATAAAAAAAAAGGAATTCACACTGAAAGGAACTCGACCAGGTTTCATATATCAAGGAAAACGACGAGCTTGGTGTGAAGGGGTTACTCCTGTGTGTGTGTGTGTGTGTGTGTGTGTGTGTGTGTGTGTGTGTGTGTGTGTGTGTGTGTGTGTGTGTGTGTGTGTGTGTGTGTGTGTGTGTGTGTGTGTGTGTGTGTGTGTGTTTCTTACCTGCGCTTCAAGGTGCGGCTGCCACATGAATATTTCACTCTCTATGAGGGTGTATTTCACTCTCTCTCTCTCTCTCTCTCTCTCTCTCTCTCTCTCTCTCTCTCTCTCTCTCTCTCTCTCTCTCACACTCTCTTTTTCCGTCTGTCTCTCTCTCTGTCTGATTTTTCCTTGTCTGTCTCTGTCTCATTACACAATAACTATAGTAACTGATATTTAGTCAATTTAACCAAGGATAGTCGACAAAACTATCAGACGCCAATTTCTAGTAGCGTTCTTACGCCAACAGCGTCTTGTGCTCTCAGGCGGTCACCTATCCAAGCATTAACCAGACCCAACTCTGCTTAACTTCGCTGACCGGACCAGAAGTGATGACTGACAAGTAAACAATACAGTTATGGTAAACAGACACAAACATAATCCCCTGAGCCATAAATGATTAAGACATCATCAGCCACAGTGAGCCACAGATGACTAAAGCCAGGTAGATAGAATGAGCCATATGTAATCTATATAATCCTGTGAGCCAAACATGAATAATCCATCTTAGGTTAAGCTATGTCTCATGCACACAAACCAGTAAGAACAGATGGCTAAGATAGTGTAAGCCAGACAGGTTAGACTAAACTGTCGAGGTAGAGAGGTCTAAGCCAGCATAAGCCAGGCAGGCATATGAGGGCAGGACACTGTCAAGGCCACTAATGAGCTGCTGAAGAATTAAGGCGTAAACAAGATCTTGGCAGTGACGCCGAGTAATGATGTTGACTCACTCTCCCACCGCCTCTAAAATACATGATGCACAGTTTTTGATGTAAATAAGAGAGAGAGAGAGTGTGAAGAGTGTGGGACGAAAGAGAGAGGGAGGGGAAAGAGAGAGAGAGGGAGGGAGGGGGAAGAGAGAGAGAGAGAGAGAGAGAGAGGGAGAGAGGCTAGATAGATTCATGGATGATAGAGAGTGGTTGTAACTCTCGACAGGAGCTGTCATGCACAGGCCAACCGGCCTATTGCAGACTCCTTATTTTATTATGTTCTTATATGAAGAGTGTGGGACGAAAGAGAGAGGGAGGAGGAAGAGAGAGAGAGAGAGAAGGGGGGTGAGAAATGGTGGGGAAGAGGATGAGTGAGGAGAGAGAAATGTTTATGTCTCAGCTACTATTAACTTAATTGAATGAACGCCAAATGATGACATAATTTCTTGGCCCAGAGCTCTAATGACCCCATAGTGTCCTCCCATATACGGTGACGTGGTTATGACTGTGACCCCTCTGTTGCCATTGGCTATACTTGGGGTACCGATCGACCAATCAATGCTAAGATCTACCAAGCTTTATGTAACACTATAGCCAATCACAGCCATCTTCTCCATCACTAATTACAGGCTAGACTCTCTCTCTCACTCGGTATAATATCACAGGCTCACTAATTCCCTTAATGTACATAAAGTAATGACTTTGATATTAGGATGTTCAGTAAATTTGTCGCTTGTGTACAGATACTCGACCATGTCTGCCTAATGATATAAACAGATGTGTGTTTTAAATTAGGTTGTTAGTGACTGTTAATAGTGTCGTTAATCTCTCCACTGTAAATAGAAAGTCAATATTGAATCCAACTTCAAAAATATATCTAATGGACTAATAAGGAAATATATCACTTTTCCTTTTAATTAATTCTTCAACATTACTTTTTCTATTCTATAATGATAAGATACAAACATTTATACATTTAAGAGGCAATACAAGTGTTGTGTTTTGATATAATTAGCCAGACGAGGTGGTTCTTGCTTAACAATCAATGTTTAAGTTAGGCGTTAGTGAAATATAACTGACTGGGAAAACTTAAAACGGTGATTTTTAAGATGACGACGACTTTGGTGACGACGACGACGACGAAGGTGACGAGGCAGAAGTTCACAATGCGTCATGAAGGAAAACTGAAAAGTGACAATTTCAAAACACAATAAAGTATACTGGATGATGAGGCGACCTTAACACAGTACAGGAAAGACTCACAAGTTGCCTTACATGTCACAGACGACACTTAACACAGAGAAACAAGATACTAATATGTGTAGTTTGTGAGAGAAATCATCAATAGGTTTACGATTATGTTTACTCAGGCGGCATATTGTGTCCCACTGTCTTGTGGTCAGCTTAAAGTCGTGGTGGTCTCGCTGGCGTTCTGTAAGCGCGGGTCACTGTTGTTTCTGTTGTTATTAAGGTGCTTCACTGTGTTCCTGTTATCATTAAGGTGCTTCACTGTGTTCCTGTTATCATTAAGGTGCTTCACTATGTTCCTGTTATCATTAAGGTGCTTCACTGTGTTCCTGTTGTCATTAAGGTGCTTCACTGTGTTCCTGTTATCATTAAGGTGCTTCACTGTGTTCCTATTATCATTAAGGTGCTTCACTGTGTTCCTGTTATCATTAAGGTGCTTCACTGTGTTCCTGTTATCATTAAGGTGCTTCACTGTGTTCCTGTTATCATTAAGGTGCTTCACTGTGTTCCTGTTGTCATTAAGGTGCTTCACTGTGTTCCTGTTGTCATTAAGGTGCTTCACTGTGTTCCTGTTATCATTAAGGTGCTTCACTGTGTTCCTGTTGTCATTAAGGTGCCTCACTGTGTTCCTGTTATCATTAAGGTGCTTCACTGTGTTCCTGTTATCACCCAGGAGCATCATCGTGTTCCTGTTATTACCCAGGAGCATCACCGTGTTCCTGTTATCATCCAGGTACATCTTTGTGCTCCTGATATTACTTGGTCTCACTCAGACCCACGAAGGACATCTACAGCTCATGCTCTAGGGGGGGGGGGCGCAGAGTACGTCAAACATATTCACACCAAAGGCCTGAAAAATGAAGTGCATTGAGAGAGAGAGAGAGAGAGAGAGAGAGAGAGAGAGAGAGATGTGGATTGAAGAGCAGAAGACTATTAAGGGTGATGTAACTGAGGGGTAGTAGTGTTTGTTTTGTTATGAACTATACACACTAACCCATTTTTCACATTAGTCCTGGACGAGTGTTGTTCTTGGACACAATAGAAGCACCAGGTCAACTCGTGTTACGTTTAGTATTTCTCTACCAGCAAGGTTATAGAGGCAGCTATATGTACGATCTTTGTTATTGTATGTTACGAGTTTAGTATATAATGATATTTTTTTATCACTATAGTATCTAGAACTTCATAAAACTTATATAATGATCTTGTTGTCATAGATAATAAATCCTTGATTATTGTCAGTCTCCCATAAGAAGGTTCATTGTATTTAATGTAGTGGATTCTTAAGTAAATTACTGTATTTTTTTCGTGTATTTCCCTGTATTTCTTTGCATTGTGTTGTATTAGAATAACTTAATATGAAAGAATGACTAATGTAATGTGAAGCCATGTAGACAGTGTACAGTGCATAACATTATAGATAATGAATGTACTGTAGAGTTACTTTAGTGTGTTAATTAAAGATTTGCATGGTGAGGAGTATTCAAGTAGAAGCATACATTAAAACCAGGTAGAGAGAGAGAGAGACTTACCTGACACCTGCAAAACATCAGCCCCCCCTCTCCCCTAGGTACTGCTGGATGGTAACCTGTCCATACTTTTTTCTGCAGCAAGAGATAACATTCTGTAAAGTGAGAGAATTCAGTGTCTTTTCTCACCAGAAGAGAAAGAGGGAATATAGAGAGTTAGGAATGAGTTATGAGAGGATTACAAACAGTTAGGAATGAGTTATGGCGAGATAGTATCAGTTAGGAATGGCATAGAAGCAGTTTGGAATGATATAAATGAAGTTAGAAATGAGATAGGAGCAGTGAGATAGGAGCAGTAAGGAATGACATAGAAGCAATAAGGAATGAGTTATAAAAAAGATAAAAACACCCCGGAATGAGTTATAAAAGCAATAGATGACTCATACCTCAAGCTGAAAAACTACCAACATACCACAAGGGGTCAGAGGAGGGCAAGGACAAGGATGGTCGATTGAAGAATAACAACTTTAGTCCTCGGAAACACAAATTCTGGGAGTATTGGTCCAACCACCCCGTTAACATCCTGAGTGGTGGGGACATGGTCATCTCCTGAGTGGTGGGGCATTGGTCGTCTCCTGAGTGGTGGGGACATGGTCATCTCCTGAGTGGTGGGGCATTGGTCGTCTCCTGAGTGGTGGGGACATGGTCATCTCCTGGTGAGGTGGGGCCTTGGTCGTCTCCTGAGTGTTGGGGCATTGGTCTGTCTCCTGAGTGTTGGGGCATTGGTCGTCCTCCTGAGTGGTGGGGCATTGGTCGTCTTCTGAGTGGTGGGGGCATTGATCGTCTTCTGAGTAGTGGGGCATTGGTCGTCTTCAGGTAGGGGCATTGGTCGTCTCCTGAGTGTGGGGCATTGGTCGTCTCCTGAGTGTGGGGCATTGGTCGTCTCCTGAGTGGTGGGGCATTAGTCGTCTCCTGGAGTGGTGGGGCATTGATCGTCTCCTGAGTAGTGGGGCATTGGTCGTCTCCAGGCGGTGGGGCATTGGTCGTCTTCTGAGTGGTGGGGCCTTGGTCATCTCTAGTGGTGGGGGTATTGATCCGTCTCCTGAGTGGTGGGGCATTAGTCGTCTTCTGAGTGGTGGGGCATTGATCGTCTTCTGAGTAGTGGGGCATTGGTCGTCTTCTGAGTAGTGGGGCATTAGTCGTCTTGTCTGGAGTGGGGCATTAGTCGTCTCTAGTGTGGGGCGTGGTCGTCTCTGAGTGGTGGGGCATTGGTCGTCTTCTGAGTGTGGGGCATTGGTCGTCTTCTGAGTGGTGGGGCATTGATCGTCTTTTCTGGTAGTGGGGCATTAGTGCGTCTTCCACCAGGTGTGGGGCATTGGTCGTCTCCTGAGTGTAGGGCGTGGTCGTCTCCTGAGTGTGGGGCATTGGTCGTCTCCTGAGTGGTGGGCATTGGTCTCGTCTTCTGAGTGGTGGGGCATTGGTCGTCTCTAGTGGTGGGCGTGGTCGTCTCCTGAGTGGTAGGGCATTGGGCGTCTTCTGAGTGGTGGGGCCTTGGTCGTCTCCTGAGTGGTGGGGCATTGGTCGTCTCCTGAGTGAGGTGGGGGTGATGAGTCGTCTTCTGAGTGGTGGGGCATTGATCGTCTTCTGAGTGAGTGGGGCATTGGTCGTCTACTGGGTGGTGGGGCATTGGTCGTCTTCTGAGTGGTGGGGCATTGGTCGTCTCCTGAGTGGTGGGGCATTGGTCGTCTTCTGAGTGGTGGGGCATTGGTCGTCTCCTGAGTGGTGGGGCATTGGTCGTCTCCTGAGTGTGAGGCATTGGTCGTCTCCTGAGTGAGTAGGGCATTGGTCAAATCTCTGGGTGGTGGGGCATTGGTCGTCTTCTGAGTGGTGGGGCATTGGTCGTCTCCTGAGTGGTGGGGCATTGGTCGTCTTCTGAGTGGTGGGGCATTGGTCGTCTCCTGAGTGGTGGGGCATTGGTCGTCTCCTGAGTGTGAGGCATTGGTCGTCAGCACATAGTTATGAGGGCAGTACCATGATTGATTAAGTGCTGGATGTGTGTCTGTGTGAGGAAATTGTCTACACATTATTCAAGGTTTGGGAGAACGAATGCATAATGCAACAGTCGAGGCTCTGCTCTGGTAGGTCTTAAATATTTCCTGAAGGAGTGAGTGGTAGTAGTGGTGGTGTTGATACTGGTGGTGGCCGTGGTGATGATGGCGGTGGTAGTGGCCGTAGTAGCGATAGAGGTAATGGTGATTATAGGGGTGGTGGTGGTAGTGGAGGTGGTACAGACAGACAGAGACAGGAGAGAGAGAGAGAGAGAGAGAGAGAGACAAAATGGAGACATAGACAGCGAGAGACAGAGATAGGCTGATATAGACAAACACAGACAAAGACACAAAAAGAGAGAAAGATAGAGTCAGACAGACATACCGACAGAGAACGACAAAAAGACAGATATACAGACAGACATACCGACAGACAGATAGTGACAAAGAGAGACAGAGCCAGAGACAGAGAGAGGGAGAGGAACAGACAGAGAGACGGTGACGCAAAAAAAAGAGACAGAACCAGAGATAGAGACAGACAGAGAGACGGTGACGCAAAAAAAAAGAGACAACCAGAGATAGAGAGACAGAGACAGTGACAGGGACAGAGAGAGACAGAAACACAGAGAGGCAGAGACAGAGAACACAAAAGGACAGACAGACAGACAGAGATAGCTAGGGTAAAGACCATCAACCAAGACACTTGCCTGCCCCCCCCACCCCCCCCCCCCCCACACACACAAAAAAAGTCTTCCAGGCTGAGGAAGAATTTAAAATATTTTCTGAATTCTCTAAATTTAATTAAAGCGCCCGTGGGCCGCCTTGACGCTCTCCGGAATACAAAGATCTGAAGAAGTTTATGAAGGAAACGTCAAGGAGAGAACGAATGCATAAAAGGAATCACGGCGTAGGAGTTCAGGCAAAACGTGGATTCTACTAGTCTTCATTTGCATGTTAGGGAAATATATTTAACAGGGAATTCAAGGGAAATTTACCCAAGACATAACCTACACCTTCGTAACCTACACTCTCTCTATTAACACCCCCCACCACCTACACCCCAAGCACCGACACCTCCACCACCTACACCCCCAACACCTACACCCCGATCACCCACACCCCCTGAACCTACACCTCCACCACCCACACCTCCACCACCTACACCCCACCACACCCCACCACCTCCCATCCCCACCACCCCCACCTCCTATACCCACCACCTACACCCCCACCACCTATACCCCCATCCCCACCACCCCACCTCCCACACCCCCACCACCTCACCCCACCACACCCCCATCTCTTACACCCCCACCATCCCACCCCACACCCCACCACCCACACCCCACCACCCCACCCCACACCACCCCACCACCCACACACCCCACCACCTCACCCCACCACCCCATCTCTACACCCCACCATCCCACCCCACACCCCACCACCCACACCACCCCACCACCCCCACCACCTACACCCCACCATCCCACCTTCTACACCCCACCACCTACACCCCACCACCCCACCACCTCCACACCCCACCACCCCATCTCCCACACCCCCACCACCACACCCCCACCACCCCATCTCCCCACATCCCCACCACCCACACCCCACCCCACACCCCACCACCCACACCCCACCACCTACACCCCACCACCCACACCACCACCCCCACCACCCCACCTCCCACACTCCCACCACCCACACCCCACCACCTACACCCCCACCTTCTACACCCCCCACCACCACCTATACCCCACCCCACCACCCCACCCCACCCTCCCACACTCTCCACACACATAGGCCATGACATAGACACCATGACCCCACATCACACTGCCGCAGAGGAGTTACCCACATCTTCAGCTGTCCTCATGGGGCCGTTCATGAGGATCACAACCCATTAGCCCTCCCCCATTAAGCCTCATTGACCCTCAAATGACCCATTATGAGAGTGACTAACGACATCAGACAAGAGAAGAAAAACTCGTGTTAGTGTTTTTTGTTGTATTTCTGTTCCTTAGGTTGACTTTCTTGTTGATTTATGGTAATGAATGATGGACACAAGACCTCACACACTGCTGTTATGGGGAGACATTCAGCATAGGAGGTACTACTCTATGTCATGACAATCCTATAAAAAAAAGAGAAAATATCATATTGGTGTTGTGTGTGTGTGTGTGTGTGTGTGTGTGTGTGTGTGTGTGTGTGTGTGTGTGTGTGTGTGTGTGTGTGTAACTGTATTTTAAACCTTCTTGACGTCATTCCTTATACAGTACAGTAACACTCTTACTGTGTGTGCTCCTAAATATGGGTTGATGGTACTTTAACTGGTGATGGTAGTTAGAGAATGTTCCTAAATGGTCGTTTTCCCTCGTTTATTGCTGTCTCTCCTCTCCCTCTCTCTCTCTCTCTCTCTGAACCCTTCTTTCTTATCTCTCAACTCATTCTTCCTCTATCTTTGTCATCTCTTTCGTTTTTTCTGCTGTATTATCATCGCTCTCTTGCTTTACTTCCCTATTCCTCTCCGTTATTGTTATTTATTTTCTTGCATTTCTCATCTCCACCTTTATCTCCTCCCCTTTGTCTATTTATCAAGTTATGTTATCCGTCGTTTATTATTATTCATTTTCGTGTTTCTTGTTTTATTTTCTCTCGTGTATTCTCGTTTTGTCTCTATTCTATCAAGTATTTGCGTTTGTCTCTCGTTTTCTCCTTTCTGCCCTGTTTCCCTTGTCCCTGGTAAGAGATGGTTGTCAGTGCCCTGTTTTGTCCCGGTGAGAGATGGTTGTCAGTGCCCTGTTTCTTTGTCCCAGGAGATGGTTGTCAGTGCCCTGTTTCCCTTGTCCCTGGTGAGAGATGGTTGTCAGTGCCCGTTTCCCTTTGTCCCTGGTGAGAGATGGTTGTCAGTGCCCTGTTTCCTTGTCCCTGGGAGAGATGGTTGTCAGTGCCCTGTTTCCCTTGTCCCAGGTGAGAGATGGTTGTCAGTGCCCTGTTTCCTTGTCCCTGGTGAGAGATGGTTGTCAGTGCCCTCTTCCCTTTGTCCCTGGTGAGATGGTTGTCAGTGCCCGGTTTCCTTGTCCCTGGTGAGAGGGTTGTCAGTGCCCGGTTCTTGTCCTGGTGAGAGTGGTTGTCAGTGCCCCTTCCTTGTCCTGGTGAGAGATGGTTGTCAGTGCCCTGTTTCCTTGTCCCTGGTAAGAGATGGTTGTCAGTGCCCTGTTTCTGTCCCAGGTGAGAGATGGTTGTCAAGTTCTGTTTCCCTCGGTAAGAGATGGTTGTCAGTGCCCTCTTTCCCTTGTCCCTAGAGAGATGGTTGTCAGTGCCCTGTTTTGTCCTGGTAAGAGATGGTTGTCAGTGCCCTGTTTCTTGTCCCTAGAGAGATGGTTGTCAGTGCCCTGTTTTGTCCCTGGTAAGAGATGGTTGTCAGTGCCCCTTTCCCTTGTCCCAGGTAAGAGATGGTTGTCAGTGCCCTGTTTTGTCCCTGGTGAGAGATGGTTGTCAGTGCCTGGTTTTCCCTTGTCCCAAGAGAGGGTTGTCAGTGCCCTGTTTCCCTGTCCCTGGTGAGAGATGGTTGTCAGTGCCCGGTTTCCTTGTCCCAGGTAAGAGAGGGTTGTCAGTGCCTGTTTTGTCCCTGGTGAGAGAGATGGTTGTCAGTGCCCTGTTTCCTTGTCCCTGGTGAGAGAGATGGTTGTCAGTGCCCGGTTTCCCTTGTCCCTGGTGAGAGATGGTTGTCAGTGCCCTGTTTCCCTTGTCCCTGGAAGAGATGGTTGTCAGTGCCCTTTCCCTTGTCCCAGGTAAGAGATGGTTGTCAGTGCCCTGTTTCCTTGTCCCTGGTGAGATGGTTGTCAGTGCCCTGTTTCCTTGTCCCTGGTAAGAGGGTTGTCAGTGCCCTGTTTCCTTTGTCCCTGGTGAGAGATGGTTGTCAGTGCCCTGTTCTTGTCCCAGGGTAAGAGAGGGTTGTCAGTGCCCTGTTTCCCTTGTCCCTGGTGAGAGATGGTTGTCAGTGCCCTGTTTTGTCCCTGGTGAGAGATGGTTGTCAGTGCCCTGTTTCCCTTGTCCCTGGTGAGAGATGGTTGTCAGTGCCCTTTCCCTTGTCCCTGGTGAGAGATGGTTGTCAGT